TTCTTGTCATTCATAATAACAAGAATTTTCCGTGCCTACATTGAAACAGCGTATCACAATTGCTGAGGTTCTTGAAAATGACTGGTTCAAGAAAGGTTACAAACCGCCTGTTTTTGAACAAGAGGAAGTCACTCTCGATGACGTTAATTCTATTTTCAATGAATCAACGGTTAGTATTCTGATCTCCCTGCTGCTCTATTATTGTTTTTTATTATTTTTTTCCTTAAAAATTAGTTTTGTAAACACTAATTATTATTTTTATTAATCTTTATTAATTATCTTATTTAATTTTGACTTGTATAGGACTCTCCAAATTTGGTTGTAGAGAGGCGGGAGGAAAGGACTGCCACAGCACCGGTGGCCATGAATGCTTTCGAGCTTATTTCTACCTCACAGGGTCTCAATCTCAATTCCCTCTTTGAAAAACAAATGGTATATCGCTAAGAAATTGCGCATCGATTGGGTTATTGTAATTCCGAGAAATCTCAAATGTGCTGACTTTTTATTTTTTATTTTTTTATTTTACCTTAGGGCTTCGTGAAGCGTGAAACAAGATTCACATCAAAAAGTCCCGCTAATGACATCATCTTCAAAATCGAGCAAGCTGCTGCACCAATGGGTTTTGATGTGAAGAAAAACAACTACAAGGTAAAATGCCTTTAACTCTCAATATTATCATGAAGAACAGTGTATTCTGATTTTTCTTTTCGATTTCGGTTTTCTGAAACAATTCCCTTATTGTTTTCTCTAAATAACAATGACGATCAAGCACTAACTTATATATATATTTTATTTTGTTTTGTGTTTTTGTTAAACCTATTTATTTTTTTAAAATTAATCCCCTGTTGACCTTGGGATTTTACTATTTCTTCTCAGATGAAACTCCATGGGGAGAAATCTGGGCGCAAAGGTCATTTGTCGATCACAACAGAGGTAAATATGTTATTGAAGGAGCTTCTCACTTCTCTCAAATCATCACTTGGTGTGTGTGTGTATTAAATTGGTCTTTTTGGCTAAAAAATGCTCTTACAGATATTTGAAGTTGCTCCTTCGCTACACATGGTAGAGCTCCGCAAGGCCGGTGGAGACACATTAGAATTTCACAAGGTAATAAATAGCGTGGAGCTTTATTATTTAACGGGAAAAACATGTTATGAATGTCTGGACAATTTTATCAGGTTCTGCACATTAATAGTACATTTTCAGTAACCTTGTCGATTATCACAATACTTAGAGAAGATTTACTCTACCATTTCACTTATATTTATTTCGTAATATATTTTTGTCTTTTAATGTATAATGTTCCATGCTTGGGTTTTTTCGTATGCAGTTCTACAAGAACCTCTCAACCGGGCTCAAAGATATAGTGTGGAAAACGGGTGACGAAGTAAAAGATGAAGCTAATAACAGTAAGTGTGCCATTCTATTATGCGTTTAACTAATCGAAAACTTCATATGAAAATACTGAACGGAGGGATTTTTGTTCATAATTGTCCATTTTTCCTCTTGTGTTGCAGGTACCTTGCCTGCTCGATCATGAGCGTCTTTGTGATGTGTTTTGTGTGTGGATCCTTTGTTATTTTTGTTTAAATTTCGAATAATCCACTTGTTTTTCAGATCATATGTGGCTACCTGTGGAGATTTGGATTTTCCAGCTACTGTAGTAGATTATAACAGAATGTGAGTTCTTTTTAAGGATTGAAAAGTTGTCATTTTGAACATTTTTACCAGTATCTTTTCTTTTGTGATTTTCACTAAATACCTTTTATGTGTTATTTTGTTGAAGCTTTGGCTCGATTGTTGAACCAATGTGCTTTATTTGAGCTTGAACGTGCTCTCAAACAAGCTTTTCTATTTTTTTTAGCACGAAGTATCACTCAAACCTTTTTTTTATTTTTTTAATATTGGAGCAGTTATAAATTATTGTATCACTATGCATGATTATTGTACCTCTTTTTGAGTATTTAGTACCACTGTCATCATTGTTTGATGCCATATTTGCTGGGAAATTCGAAGTTGTTTTATTTTATTCAATTATTGTTATACGGAAGGAGTATAAACTGATATATTAGAGGTTGTACTTACAAAAATGAATTGTTTGTGTTCTCTATGCACTTTGGATCAACTCTTGATGAAAAGTACTCTCATTGCTAAATTTGGAATCCGTCATGTTATGCTATATCGCGTCAAATGAAAAAAAGAAAGTTAATTTGTTTGATGATGAAGATGTGAAAAACATGATTTAGTTACATGTCTATTGGAAAGTAAGTATTGCGGAGATACTTGGCATTGAAAAAACTGAAAGATTGGATCATAGAGTTCAATCCATCCCAATGAGCATGAACATGTAATGTTGTTTTCATAATTGTAATGAATTTATTACTGAAATATAGTATAATTGTAGTATAATTGTATGATATCCTAGTTCATTATTTTTTTTAACTAGTTTTATTATTTATAAATATTTGTATTATTTTGTCATGAACGCAGGAAAATTATACCGGATGATGATTTCTCGAAGGGAGAATTTGAGTTGTTATTGCAAGACAATATGATTGATTCTTGGAGATTTTACATCAAATGAGAGGGACAAATTTTTAGTGGCATGGATGAATTTCGAAAGCGTGGTAAAAACTACGTGATTGCTAATAGGGGGTATGTTAAGTATCGAAAAAATGATAGATAGAGAAGATCATTATTTGTTGTAGCAACGGTGATCAGTTGTTTGCCATCCGGAAGTGCAATCTAGTCTATACTTGCAGAGTGTCCAATCTTCGAACAAGGGGACATCCGAGAGCAGACTCATTGGATCTCAAGTACAACTAAGGACAAATTGAGAGATGAACCAAGTTATAGGCCTTGCACGATATCAAAAGACCTTCACATGGATTATGACTTGAAGTTGCATTTCAAAAAGGCATGGTTGAGGAAGGAAATTGTTATGCATGATATTAATGGAGTAGACAGGGGCTCTTATGACAGATTGAGGTGGTATTATAATGTAGTGCGTGAGACAAGCTCGGGAAACATTGCTGATTGTGAGATTGACCCTGTCAAAAATAAGTTTATCTGATTGTTCATTTGTTTTCATTCCTGCCTTGTTGGTTCTTTAATCGACTGTTGACCATTGATATTTCTGGATGACACTCACATCAAATCTAGAGATGAAAGCAGTTAGATGTGAGTGCCATCTAGAAATATCAAGGGTTGACAACCAGTTAAAAAACCAACAAGGCATGCATGAAAAGAAATAAACAGTCGGAGAACTTATTCTGGACAGGGCCAATCTCACAATAAAAAATGTTTATTGGGTTTGTCTCACGCATTGCATTACAATACCACTACAATCTGTCATAAGAGTCCCTGTTTACTCCATGAATATCATGCATGACAAATTTTCTTCCTCAACCATGCCTTTTTGTAAAGCAACTCCAAGACTTGTAACCTGGTTCATCTCTCAATTTGTCCTTAATTATACTTAAGACCCAATGAGAATCTGCTTTCGGATGCCCCCTTGTCCTAAGATTGGACACTCCGCAGTATGGACTAGATTGCACTTTCGGATGACAAACAACTGATCACCTTTGTATCTTGATGCATATATTTTCCATCGACAATCACAACAAACAATGACCTTCTGCCTATCATTTCACAGATACTTAAAAGTTCGCTTATTAGCAATCACGTAGTTTTTAACACGCTTTCGAAATTCATCTGCGCCATTGAAAATCTGTCCCTCTCATTTGATGCAAATCTGCAAGAATCGATCGAATTGTCTTGCAATAACAACTTAGATTCTCCCTCCGAGAAATCATCATCCGTTACGATTTTTTTGCGTTCGTGACAAAATAATATAAAGATTTATAAATAATGAAACTAGTTAAAAAAATAATGAATTAGGATATCATACAACTATACCCTATTTCAGTAATAAATGCATTACTATTATGAAACCAACATTACCTATTCATGCTCATTGGATTGGGTTGAACTCTATGATCCGGTCTTTCATTTTGTTCAATGTCAAGTATCTCCACAATACTTACTTTCCAACAAACATGCAACCGAATCATGTTTTTTCACATCCTCATCATCGGACAAACTAACTTTTTTTATTCATTTGACGCAATGTAGCATAGCATGACAGATTCAAAATTAACATTCGACCACCTTTTAGGGTGTACATTTCATCAATAACTGATTCAGTGTCATAGAGAACATAAAAAAAATTATTTATGTAGGTATAACCCTCTAATATATCACTTTGTGCAATTTTCATGTATCTAACAATAATTGGATAAAATATCACAAATTCAAAATTTTCAGCACATATGGTATCAAAAAGTGATTACAGTGGTACTAAATACTCAAACAAAGGTACAATATTCATGCATAGTGGTACAATGATCAAAATTTTCATGTATCTAACAATAATTGGATAAAATATCACAAATTCAAAATTTTCAGCACATATGGTATCAAAAAGTGACTACAGTGGTACTAAATACTCAAACAAAGGTACAATATTCATGCATAGTGGTACAATGATCAATGCCACCTTATTTTATTTTTTTTGGATGAATAACACCTAACAATAACGTAAATTTGGTATATATGAACAACAAAAAATTGATTATGGTCGCCTTATTTGTTTTAGGGTGAATATAAACAACAATATTTATAATTGAATACTTAATAAATTAACCAAAAAAATATGAATTAAAGATGATTTTTGGACACTACAGTCCTCATATAATACATGTTAACTTACCACTTCAATTTTTTGTTGAAAAATGGTCAAATATTGTTGGAAAAAGATAATTTTTTTTGTCGGAGAAAGATGAAATTTTGACGTCTGAATCACGTATTTCGCTGGTGTTCTTGTCATTGGAGTTCTTCTGGCCGGATTTATTGTCGTCGGAGAGATGAAAATGCATGAAAAAAATAAATAAAAGGATCGCCGGAACGGGGAAGGTGACCTGGTGGGTGGGGGAGGGCTTTGGGTGGTGTATCCGTGTATGGAAGAATATGGAAGAAAAATAATATATTTATAGGGATGATAAAAGAATAATAAAATAATAGTTGTAGTGGAGTGACGTGAATTTTTTGACTTTATTTATGACTTATTTTTAGTAGTAGGGAGCTTATGGGAAGGAATTAGTGTAATTAGGTAGTGCAGTAAAAAAAAAAATCCTAGAAGTTGAAAAGAGATGAATGGTAAATAAAATTGAATTAAAAAAATTAAATTACATACCTAGCGGATTCGTGTCGTGTCATTGTACTTTCTCTTTCGCTGAAAGCATCTTCAGATATTCCTCCCCACCATATTCGCTAGCGCGCACGCCGGAGAACAAGTACGTGGGCGACATGGCAACTGCGAACGCGGAGGTGGCCGAGAACGGCAATGCGGAGCCGCCGAGATCGGCGTTAATATTTCTCGGGACCGGCTGCTCGAGCGCGGTGCCTAACGCGATGTGCTTGATCCAGCCATCCGATCCTCCTTGTCAAGTCTGCTCCCAATCTTTAACCCTACCGCCTGATCAGAACCCTAATTACAGGTTTCTCAATCAACATTTCCCGCGATTTGTTTCAGTTTTCTCAAAATGTGGAAAAATTTTGGACTTCATTGGTCATGATCTGCTACCTTTAACGGCCTGATGATCAAGGCTTCGTGGAGTTCATTGACCATGGTTTATAGCTCGTAGTATCGAGTAACTAATGTTGTGATTGCGTGTATTTCGAATCAATTATCAAGGGCTCTCGATAAATCTTGGAGTTCATTGATCATTATATTTAACGGTTGCCTTCCAAGTTTGAATCTTGGAGTGATTTTTCTTGCATTTCTGTTTCTTATGTTGGACTCTGGATGAGTGGGAAAGGTTTCATAGACCCTGCACTAGTTTTTTTTCAATGATGGACCTACCAAGTAATCGTTCTTTCTTGTATTGAGGACAATAGTTTTGTTGCTTTTTATCCACCTTAATAACATATCTTAGTGTGGGATTGTTTTAATGACTTCAAATTAGTTTTCTGTATCTCCTTGAGTTTTCAATTGTTGTTGAATAGCTCGATGATATCCTGAATTTGTTGGCTAAACAGAAAAGTTTACCAAAAATCCTTGAGGGAATAAAGTCGTTTAACCGGACCTTGAATATACAAGGTTTCTTGTATCCTCCACTTCAAGTATTTATGTCACTGTTTGATAATGAAATATTGGTTAAAATTACGGTTTCTTGAGTTCTTCTCGATGGTTAAAGTCATCCTGCACCTATTGCAACTTTTATTGTTGTTCATTGATTATTTCTTTTGATGATGGCTTGTAGGTGCAATACATCCCTCCTAATTGATTATTGTGGTAGTGAAGGAAAACATAAATATATTTTGATAGATGTGGGCAAGACGTTTAGGGAGCAAGTTCTGCGGTGGTTCACCTTTCATAAGATACCACAAGTAGATTCAGTGAGTTTTCTATTTTCCAGCAGCTCTAATAATTTCGAGGGTATATCTACGTAACTGTGTGGGTGTTTTGAATCACATGTAACCAATAAACTGATTACAATCATGGTTCCTGCTGTGCTGTTGGTACTGTCATATGGAACAAAATCACGTTCGACCACCTGATGCTGGATTAACAAACCGAGGGACACTTGCTTCATTAAATGTTATAGATGTTTCTCGTTGAGTGTACCTGGAAACTTTTGACAGTAGATAATTGAGGATAGTTACTAAATTAGTTGTGCTTATCTGCCATGTTTGGTTAAATAAAATTGGAGGTATGTGGCGTGCAATTTGACAGCCAACTTGCCTTTTGAAGTTCACCATTCGTTCGGAAAAGACAAAAATGCTTCTCAAGTACTTCAAATATGGGAGAAAATAAGGACATTTTCTTCAGCTCTCATTAAGGTAGCCATTTTCGTGGATACTGCTGAATTTTCCTTTGTAGACATCATGGCTTGGCCTAGGCTGTGCTACATTTATTAATAGTTTTAGAAAAAGGGTATATGGAGAAGTATAATTTGATTTGTCTGGATGAACAAGAAATAAAGAGGAAAGTGTGCGCAATTGGAGATCCAGTTTACGATCTGGCTAACATTCCAACATCAGGATGTTACTCATCAGTTTCTGCATATTCTTTATCCGTTAATGATAAATATCTCATTTACAATTATCATGATCTGATTTGCTATATTTTAACACTTCTGCAGATTATATTAACTCATGAACATGCTGATGCTGTTCTCGGTTTGGATGATATACGCACTGTGCAACCCTTTAGTCCAACAAATGACATCAGCCCAACTCCCATCTACCTCACACAAGATGCAATGGAGAGGTATATTTCCATTTGCGTAGTTTTCTGTATTCCTACTTATAATATTAATTGGATCTTCTCCTCCTATTTTTCTGGCGTGACAGCTAAATTAATGATGATAACTTAACCATAGTTTTTTATTGTCATTATTTTTACTTATTTATAACAAGAAATCACCGTAACATCTTATATTAGAAAAACGAAATCTGTGAAACATAAAAATCTCATAAGAAAAGTATTAGTCACACACTCTGGTTAGCTGTTCCTATTTGCTTGTTAATATATTCTCGGTGAAGAACCAAATATTCTATGGAGCCATCGGATGGTTTTCTTATGGAGTAATCCACCACTTAATATATTGACACCTGTCCAAATTGAATTTATTGTAGGACATGTGTCAATACACTATTGGTGAATCAGTGTGGATGAGTCCATAAGTCGAGTCATCCGATGGCTCCATAGCAAAACTGGTGAAGAACATATATACTTGGCAGATAGAAAATTTCATATGGTATGAAGTTTGATGATTTGGAGTTGAACCTTTGAACTACTGATCCCTAAAGCATAGCTGTGTCGTATATGTATACCATGATGATTGTAAAATCTTGACTTGGAATGTTGATTACCAGCCATTGTTTTGATAAACCTTGAAGTATTTTTCGTTTGTAGTTGCAATCGATGCCATGTGCTTTTGCTTCTTAATCGTTTTTGAACAGCATTGCAGTGAAATTCCCTTACTTGGTTCAGAAAAAACTCAAGCCTGGTCAGGAAGTTAGGCGTGTTGCTCAACTTGAGTGGAAAATTATAGAGAATGATTGCACAAAACAGTTCATGGCATCTGGCCTGCATTTTGTTCCTCTACCGGTTAGTATTTCATTATGCTTATTATACAATCAGATGGAAAGTAAAAAAAACATGTCTAATGCATTCTGCTTTGTTTGTAGATGTTACGTAAGCCTTTTCTGATATTACTCTCCTTTCCTTATATTCTAACCAGGTAATGCATGGCGAAGATTATGTATGCCTTGGTTTTCTATTCGGTGAAAAATTTAAAGTAGCATATATATCAGATATTTCACGCTTTCTTCCAGCCACAGAATGCTGTAAGCACTGTTATTCTTTTCATATATCATTTTAATCTGTTAGGTCTCTTTAACTTATGTCCTGCATTTTGAGGTTTATATGTATATGTATATAAAGAAAAAGAATTCATCTGTTTTGTTGTAGATATTTCGAAAGATGGTGGTCAGCAGCTTGATCTCCTTATATTGGACACACTGTACAAGGTTAGAATCTATTATCCTTTTGATTTCCATAATGCTCTCTCATTAATGATATACTGATTCAGAATGAAAAAACTTTTGCTTCTAACTTTTTGCAGAAAGGATCTCACAATACTCACTTCTGCTTCCCTCAGGTTTCCCCGTTTNCGGCAAATACTCTTCTCGTGTTAACTCAAGTTGATGACTTTTTCATCTAAACAGACACTCGATGCCGTTAAGAGGATACACCCTAAGAGAGCTTTGCTTATCGGGATGACCCATGAGTTTGATCACCACAAAGACAATGAATTTCTCGAGGAATGGTCTAAAAGGTGTTTCTCCTCACCTATTGTGGAAATTTATCCTAAAACTTATCTCATATTAGGGCGTAGGATTATTATTTTTTATTTTTATTACAAAGCTAAGCAATCCCCTGCCAATGAATATACCTGTCACATTGTCACTCCATATATACCTATTTTGTGAAATCTTTTGTTAGGTTGAATCACATTAAGTGGATAGTGGACTTACAGATATTGCTATCTTTGTTAGGGTGAATAACATAAATCTTGTACACAATATTTCTATAATTTAGTACTAAAATCTAAACTCAATATGGACTAAGCATATAATTATGCCATCGTTTTTTATTTTTTCCAGGGAAGGGATACCAATTCAGCTAGCACATGATGGGCTTAGAATCTCTGTAGACCTTTGATGAGGTAATTGTTTGAATTCGTAGGTTATTGAAAATCATTTGTTCGACACGGGAATATTCGCTGCTTTCTTAGACCACTGACTGAAAATGCTCATCTGCCAGTTCATTTGCCTGTTGAAATTATTGTAGTTATTTGATGGAAAGCTTATATTATTGTTTTATTCCCCTTAGATATTATTAGCGGGGATTTTATTATCACCACCGGACTTGAGAATGCAAAAAAAGAAGCAAAATTTTATGTTGAAGCCATTGAATGTTTATGTTCTATAATATTTCTGTGTTGTTCCCTTTCAATGTTGATTCATGAGAAGTACGAGGATGAGTAGGATATTTTCATCCCTGTTTTTTTTCCCTTGCAAATTAATGCATTTCCAATGAATTATTTTGGGGGTCATTTTCAAGGGCAAACAAGATGAGATTTGTGCTGTCGGATGTTTTCTGGGAATTTTCTGAAACAGTAATAATTACGAAAGAAGATTTTTATACCCCCAACTAATTAGAGAGAAAAAAAGGACTCACGAATGCAGGTGGCAAAAATCGTTTTGGTCATGTTTTATTATTTTGTTTGGTGTTATCTATTTTGTTTGATTATAAGTATAATACTAAGCTGATAGTTAGTTGTTTTGACTAGCGGATTGAGTTACTGGTTTGACTAGATGATCGTGTTAGCAGTTTGTAAAAAAGTGTTTGATAAATTAGTTATTTTTAATTAGCTTTTGACATGTAAAATTACTTATAAGGACATAAACATAATTTATCATTCTTATTTATGTTGAATTCGTAATTATTTAGGAAATAAAATAATTAATATTTTAAATATTTGTTAAAGTGATTTAAAATATAATAAAATAAAAATATTTCTTAATCGAGTAAATAAGTTCTCTTCAGATAAATAAAGCTAATAACAAGTCATCACTATTTAAAAAAAAAATTAAATGTGAATCAATTGCAATATCTCTTAGTAGAATTGAAAAAAATAATTAAAAGAAAATCTAAATAATTAAAATTACATTAACAATTTTTAAAAGTTCCAGTTACATCTAAGTAACTAAAATTATATATGTTTAAAATCTTAGAAAAATAGTTGGTAAAATTAGTTGTTAAGAATTATACTAGAGTTAGTTGGAGACATTTATATATTTAAATATTTTCTTATGTTACATTAATTATAATTTTGAAAAACTAAATATTATTTATATTTTTAAAATATAAAAAATGTGATATATATTTTATTGCTATAGGTTTTAATGAAAAAGTATGAGCAGTGCACAATTTGAATCATAATGGTTTTGATTACAAATGAGTTTTGTTTTGTTATTTTTTTTTTCTAAAATTGGGAGACATATTGAAGAGAGTGTTGTCTCATTTATGTCAATGAACATAATAATGAATAAGGGCAATTAAGGGGGTGATTGTTTATCAATTCATTCCAAAAAAAACCAATCAAAACTCAAATTTAACTCAACTTTAACCCAACTCCACTATCTCTCATATTATCAATATAATTAAATAACATCAACCAATCATTCACCCAATCATTTTTACACATCACATCAACTTTAAGTCACTATTCATCCACTCACATAATTTTAACTAACCACAACTTCCAATCATTTTTCTCTTACTTTTACATCATATCAACTTTAATTATTTTATTTTAAATATTATTTTAATATATCCAATAACAACTAACCATACTAACTTTTTTCAAATTTAACTATAATTAAAAAAAACCAATTAATTTCTAGATGAATTCATAAACAATCACCCTCTAAGACTTTTAATTTTTTATCTTGAACCGCTAACTCAAAACGCTAGTAAAAGTAGCGTTTTTCATTATAGCGGATAAGGCTAAAAAGCTAGTTGTAAAAGTTGTTTACCAAACATTTGTTTCAGCTTATTCTAAAAAGTTAAACAACTAAAGGGTTGATTGTTTATCAACTCAATTAAAAAAATAATCAAAATTCAAATTAACTCAACTTTAGCTCAATCCTATTATCTTCAATATTATCAATATAATTAAATAATATTAACCAATCATTCTTACACATACATAATTTTAACTAACAATCACTTTCAATCATTTTTCTGTACTTTTACATCAAATCAACTTTAGTTATTTTATTTTAGATAATATTTTAAGATAAACTTAAAGATCCACTAACAATTAACCATGCCACATTTCAAAATTACCTAGAGTAAAAAAAAAAAACAGTCAATTAAAAATAGTTGAATCCATATCCAATCATCTCATCTCTTTTGAGGCCAAAAAGTCATTAAACAAACGCAACCTAAATGTAAATTTAACTAAATTTTTCATTCCATGTTTTTCTTATTGTGTTTTGCGTCGTGTCATGTCGTGTCTTGATTATCGTGTTATTTGGCTCTATTGTTGCGTGTTGTGTTAAAATTCAGGCCAACTCTAAAAGGTTTCAAAATCTAACTAGTAGAAACTCGGAAAAAAAAGTATGATAAACTAGAGTTAAAAGCATGAATTTAGAATCTCAAAACTTGTGAAAAAAAAAAGCTATATAATAACTTTTTTTCGTTTGGGTTCGATGGAATAATTTTTAGCCCATTTTTTTTACATTAATAAATAAAAATGGATAATCATACTAAAATTTTGATTGCAGTGCTAAAATATTTCTAAACATTAGTATCTACAAATTGGTGCGCCACGTTAACTTTATATTTCACTATTTATTTATTTATTGCCCTTTTTTGTTGGGGTTTTGGTTGACTTTGGTTTCATGAGGGTATATAATGGTCCAACATGAAGTTTGTGCTTCTTTAAGACTATCTTTATTCCCAACCCAATTCAACTCAATCTAATAATTAAAAATTATTTCTCTCTCCTCCATTTACATAACTCAACCTTACAACTTAATTTATCTTTATCCCCGACTCAACTCAACCTAAATATTTATTTTATTTTAACTTATTTAAAAATTACAATTTTATTTCAAAATATATCAAGTGTGGTCTCTATTTGTAGAGAATGAAAAAATATGAATTTTAATATCATTTTTATTTTTTTAACAAAAAAAAATACACTTATCCAATCAAATTAGGACAAATGTCCCATTCTCCAAACACTACACGGGTCGCGACCCAAGGTCACAATGTGACCTGGGTCGCTCATTTTTTCGTGACCTTCCTTGTTTTTCTTTTTATTTTTTTTTTATTTTTTATGTTTTTTCAATTGGTGACCCAACTCATGGGGTCACCGTTAAAGATGGTCTAATTATATAGGGTGTCAATCCAATTAAAAAAAATCAATCAAAACTCAAATTTAACTCAATTTTAACCTAACCCCACTATCTCCATTATTGTCAATATAATTAAATAATACCAATCAATCATTCAACCAATCATTTTTACACACCACATCAACTTAATTCACTATTCACCTACTCACATAATTTTAATTAACTATCACTTCCAATCATTTTTCTCCTACTTTTACATCATAACAACTTTAATTATTTTATTCTAAATATTATTTTAATATATCCACTAACAATTAACCATACTATATTTTTTTAAAATTAACTATGATTAAAAAAAAATATCAATTAAAAACTAGTTAAATTCATAAACAATCACCCCACCCCATAGTTGACTAACTTAAAAAAACTATTTAAAACAATGCCACGAGTCAATCTTAATCTTAATCAGTTGTTAGTTGACTTTAATTACAACATGGAACATGATTGGCTGGTCACACACCTGTTGACAACAAATAATGGTCTCTAAATCTTCGAAGCAAAAGGGTACTTTAATCAGTCTCTATCCAATTAGACCACCTAGTCTGGTTTCATCTTGATTATAATTATGGGCACTCATAAGAGTTAATTCTATTTAATATTAAATCCAACTAGTTTATATCAATGGTACATAGGCCAGTGCTAAATGGGATGGCCCATTAAATTAAATATCAAATTAAAAATAACGCATATAACATAAAATAGAACTAGTATTGAATCCCGTGCGCACGGTAGAGATATTCATTAATATTTATAAATTAAAATATTTATTCAATAATATTTATAAATTAAAAATATGAAATTAATATGTAATACAATTTACCTATATTAATTTATTGAAAATGTTATATGAAATTTAAATTATGTAGAATTACATAAAACATGTATATTTTAAATTAGTACACAACTCGTACGTTGCAAGCAAGGACGGAGCTGCATGGGGCCCAACGAGGCCCTGGACCCCCCTTAATTTTTTTTAAAAATCAATATATATATATATATATATATTATATTTATATATGTATTATATATTATCAATATCTATATTTATATATATAAAGAAAAAATTATACAATATGTATAGATATGTAAAAAATATGTACAGCATATTAATAATTAAAATTATATTTTCTATGCTATTTTAATTTAAATTAATAGTATTATTTATTTATTGAAAAATGTACTAACAATCCTTATATTTTACATTTCTAGATAAATTTTTGAAAATGTT